GAGATCCTGGAGGGCTGAGTGGAGAGCGAGGAGGTGGCGGCGGTCCGCGACTTGCGACTAGGAGCGGGCTGCCATGGCGCTGAGGTTTGGCTCTGGCCAGGTGCGGATGGGGCAGCCCACGGGTAGCCCAACTGCGGAACCAACTTATGCCATTCCCAAATTTACATCTTTAGCATATTTCTAAGCTAACTATTCAGAGGATCTGCAGACACAAAAATAACTAACTAGCCTTTTGTGAAAGAAATTTACATCTATTTGCATCAGTAAAGTAAGGAGCTGGGCCACTCCTTAGTCCTCTAGGCATAGGAAGGACAGCAGAGATCTGACACCCGGCCTTGAAAACTGGTAATCTTTGAATTTTCTCCCCTCAGAGCTTATCTCCCTCCTAAACTGTCCAGTGAAAAACTTTTAAGTGACCTGACTGCGCTGAGCCACATTGAGGTGGTTCTCATGTACATACGTCTGTGTGAAAATAACGAGCCAGGGACCAGCAGATGGCATAGCAGTTGCATCGCTGGACTCCCACATGGACTATCCAGATTTGAGTCCTGGACCTGGGGGGCTTGAAAATCATGCTGGGGCGCTGAGCCTGCGTGCCCAAGATCCCAGAGAAGAATGGAGGAGAAGGAATTGCAGCCTGGCTATCACTTTCTCGCTGTGTCTGTATCTCTCTCTTTGACAAGTACCAGCCAGGGACCTATAAGGGGCCAGCAGAAGGCATGGTGGTTAAAGGCGCTGGAGTCTCATATGGTTAAACACGGTTTGAGTGCCCGGCCTGGCGGTTTGCTTTCTCACTTTCTCTTTCTCCAATGAACAACTTTTTAAAATAATAATTAAGAGACCAGCAGATAGCATATGGGGACCAGCATATGGCATCATGGGTATGTCGCTGGACTCCCATGTAGTCAACAGCAGTTCTAGTCCCAGACCAGGAGACTTCACACTCAGGCCAGGAGTGTGCTTGTACATGCCCAAAACCCCAAGAGGAGAATGGAGGAGAAAGGATTGTGGCGTGGTCATCCCCCGGGGTGGGGGGGGGGGGATTTCCCATTTTCTGTCTCTCTCTCTGGCAAGTACACACGCCCTATAGTAAAAATCTCTTTAAAAATATAAAATAGGGGGGAACCAGCAGTTAGCGTAATGGCTATGTCGCTGGACTCCCACGTAGTCAACCGTGGTTCGCGTCCAGGACCCGGTGGCTTAAAACTCACGCTGGGCGCGTGTGCGTGTGTGCCCAAGATCCCGAGAGGAGAATGGAGGAGAAGGGATTGCAGCGTGACCATCTCCCCTGGGGGGGATTTCTCGCTTTCTGTCTCTCTGTCTCTCTCTGTCTGGCAAGTGCACGCGCCCTATAGAGAAAAACCTCTCCAAAAAAAAAAAAAATATATATATATATATATATAAAATAGG